CATTAGTTTGTTTTATGTCGTGGTTTTTTGTTTGATAACTGTAAAAATATAAATTTTGAAATTGACAAAAGGTAAAAATTCAAACGATGACAAAATGGAATATTACTTATCCCCGCCTTACGTTCTCATACTCGTACCTTAAAGCACATAGGTACGGAAATGCAATAAATGGCTTTATACAAATTTTGCAGGATGATTTCACATGACATGTCTTTCATATTTACACACTAGCTCCTACCTATTCTTAAAGTAATGCATCGAAATTAACACCTTTGATAAGAAATTTAAAATAAATAGAAAGTTTGGCCATCTCCTGAATAATCAGATAAGAGACGAGTTTCAGAAAATAAGACATTTGTTTTATTTAAGGTTTTAAAGTCACAAAGTATTAATTTCTATTTAGTATACATAACTTCATTCTATATAAGATCTCAAGGCTTTACTTACTTACCAACCTTAGAAATTGCTAAGCTTTTGTAACAATTCCAGGCCTTGTGGTGAATAGTTAATATTCGGAATCCTCCAAAGAACATTTCGTAGACCTATTGTAAACATGTTGTCCTTGAGTGACTTTGCTCGCATTACATTTAGATCTTTGAATGTAGGATCAAAGAGAGCTTTATTTGTATAGTCTATTTCGTCAGTATCTCGTCTTATTTTACTTACACTATTATTCTGATTACCAATGAAACTCTTAGGACGGTTACATACGGAGACTTTTAGCAGCGATGCAGATGCGATGCAAACGCGATGCAGTAGTAGCTAATCGCCTACCTTTACACACACGCGCGAATGCATAGATACAAATGCGCGATTGCATTGCTACACTTATGATTTATAAGCGATTACATCGACGCAATCGATGCAGCCGCGCATTTATATCGATGCAGTCGGACGTTTGCATCAATGCAATCGCCTATAAATCGCAAGTGTAGCGATGCAATTGCGCGTTCCACGAAGGCGCGTTCGCATCGCTGCTAAAGTAACCGTGTATAACTACTCTTAGTACGAAATTTAGTCGCTGTAGCGCTCTTTGTGGAAGAATTCGTCCAGGGAAATACTGCCACCATACCTATTTCGGCCGCCAAGCAGTAATGATAATATTACTGCTTTCCGGTTTTAAAGGGCAGGCCGCTGGAGAAGCTACAGGCAAACCATCATCATCATTAGCTTATCGCAGTCCACTGCTAGACATAGGCCTCTCTCAATGTGCACCATTTCGCCTGGTACAAGTACATGCGAGTTATTATTTTGTGGGAAAATGCACACTTTTCGTTGTTTGTTACCATTTCAATAATTTGTAAAGATGTAGAACAGTAATTTAAAGAACTCTAAAAGTAGGTATTATGCCGTCTTGGTTATAAGATTTTCAAAAAGCACATATGCAACATTATTTAGTGACCAAATTGCACAGAGGCAATTGTCACACCAGCAACACAATTTTAATAAGTCAATTCAACCCACTATCACTTGCATTGAATGTCGTAAAATTGTTAATAGCTCAGGTGCAAAGAATTTATCGTTCTCTCCACCTTCACAGCTCAATGGACGTTTCTGGTGATATCCTTTTACAAACTTGCAAAGCTTTTATATGCCATTTGGTGATGTGGACAATGTCGCTGTATCACCCATGAATGGAGATTTAATTCGAAGTACTCAGTCGTTAGGTTTTAAGTAGGACTTAGAACATGACCTGCAACGTTTTATGTTTTCAAAATGTGTTGCCTGCGATGTACTTGTAAACAAGTAATATGTTTAAAATATTCTTGCTATATATGATGACTTACAGCATTATGAGATGGTCGTTAATCATGGGCCTCACAAGAAGGCTTAAGATCACGAGATGACTTTGCTTGGAGTTTCACTGCGAAATCGAATAAAAAATGAGAATATCCGCAAAAGAACCAGAGCAATCGGCACAACCTAAAGGATGGCAAAATTTAGTGACAGTAGAAGCGACACTTTGCTTGCAGACCGGTAGCTGATGGGGCCAAAGAGTTTTCGAGTGGCGAACAAAAGACTCTTTCGGCTTTCGGCTGAATTGATAATGATGATGACTCTTGCTTTCGAAATGTGTTATACAACATGTTTATGCATTTCAATGAAAACGTTGTTAGTGGTCTAAATTCTAAATATAAACTTCTATTACAAGCTGTGTGATAATATAACGTTGGTATTACAATGTTGATTTAGTCTGACACAAGCGTCTCTCGAGAAAGTCGTCCTTTTAGGTAGCTTGCCGTAGCTCAAGAATTATTAAACAACACGTGCTGCTTGCTCTACTGTAAGCGTAGCTACTATGATAGATAGGAATAGTAATGGAGGTAATGAGAACAGAGATCCAGAAGGTAAATGCGATAGCAGGGGTGGAATGCATGAAAGTAACAAACCTATACAAAGGAAACGTTTTTGATATTGTCTTAAATAAAAATGAGGTACGAAAAGTAAGTATCTGGTAACAAAAAAATAAGAACGAAAATGTAACTCGTAATTCAGTAAACATGCATGTAAACATTTCATACATTCCAATACTTACAATTGTCAACATGAAAACTTAACAAAGTGATACAAGAGCAAAGTTAATAGTAGCATGGTTTGTGTAGTAACAATAAAGACTATACATTTACGAGGGTGTTAGTCTCCCAGTTTACGAGGTACAAGGACTTACGTTATTATGACATAATGTTGTTTAACGAGTTTGTTTCTTGTACATAGCACGTACGTACTAAACATGAATGCGACTACGTATTATGGCCCTTATAATCCAGAAACAATAGGTTTTGACGGCCTCCGAGGACGAGAGGCTTGCGCATCGGTTTTCATGGTGTCGCCATCATCTCAGAGGTCCGATCGGGTTTGATCGCCGGCCGGATCAATGTAGAAAACTAACTTTTGTATATTGTCTTGGGCCTGGGTGTTTGTGGTACCATCGTTGTTTCCGATTTCCATAACACAAGTGCTTTAGCTACTTACTTTGGGATCACAGCAACGTATGTGATGTTGTAATGAAAATATTTATCCGGATTTAAATTGCGTATATTTGTTTTTTTAAACAAACCGACGTTTCGGGACCTTTACACGTCCCATGGTCACGGTTGACATGGGACCTGTAAAGAGCCCGAAACGTCGGTTTGTTTGAAAAAACAAACATACGCGATTTAAATCCGGAAAAATAGTTTCATTTCATATGTGCAATAATCGCGAAAACCTAGGAACTAGGTATGTGATGTTGTCTAGTATTTATTTATTTATTTAATAATATACATGATATAGGCAGTACTCCGACTCAGCACTCAGATTGTTTTCAAAATTACTTGCACTTGTGTGGTCCGCTTTAAATGGTCAAATTTTAGAAATTGACCTTTATTAAATACGGGTTACCTATCAGTAGTCCGAAATGACATTTGCCAGAAATAACGTTTGGTCGTAATTTCATAACCTAATTAAGTAATTTTGAGAGGAAAATGTTTATTTTTTCTTTTAAACCTAACTTGACCTAACCTGACCGAACCTAATCGTGTCTTTGCGATAAACATTCAACATATCCTGAAAGAACAACTGTTTCGTTATAATTCGGTTTTCACACCGAAATGAAAATTCGAACAAACGTTATTTCTGACAAAAAAATATCGCCTTTATGACAGGTTACCATCAAGTTGGTGGCATATACGTATGACTTTTGTATCTAAGTTACGTGAGTTGTATCTAAGTTGTGAATGGATTAGTAGTTAACAGGAAGGACAGCGTTCGTGTTCAAAGTCGGCGAACGTTTACAAACCTGGAACCCGTGTCAAGAAAAGGATGCACGATGCATTGATCATGATAAATTATTGTCATATGCAAGAAAAAAATCATTTACACACATACAGTATTATACAGATTTTTTTATGCCATTCGAAAAACTGGATACAATTCCAAAATAAAGTAAAAATGTTTAGTTAACATTATGATATGAGAAGAATGTACTCTAGTAGATGTAGACCGCAACATCCGAATTAAAAAAAAACTCATTGTCATTAATTCAGTGACAGTAATAAAAAAATCGTTTCTAATCTTTTTAGAAAATAGATAACAAAACTCATCCCGCAGTCAGCACATGAGCCACTATCATATTGAGTATCTAGCTGAGATCACAGACCGGCTGTCCAAAATTAAAATCCTGCTGGTGAAACTACAAGCCTATTGGAGTTGTCAATTGTATGTCTCAAGGTGACGGGCGCTGTGGCAGTGCCCTTCAGATCTTTGCTGTCCATGGCTTGAGTGGCAGCGCAACTGTTATGAGTAGACGTTGCTTACCAGTAAGTCCATAAGTTGTTCATCCCATCACGTGATATCGTAAAAAACGTAGTCTATTTAATCAAAATATCCGCTCACGCGATGCGCTCCTCCTACCGCAAAATGGCGGCAATTTGGTTTTGCAAATAAAAAAACATTCAGTTTAAATACAAGTATTTATAAATAAAAATTATTATTCTGCATTGCCAAATAAATACCCTCCGTACTACCAACAAAAACATCTCAAATAAAATGCAGTAATACACCGCAAATCCTGCACTTAAAAAGCACTAATGAAATTTTTGGTGTACTTGGATAAATATGGTAATATTCCGATTGAGTGGTTCTAACGTTTACCATGCAATTACTCCTCAAAGTATAGTTTATAAACATATATATTCAGGGTAAACTTAAAAAACGCTACTTACGGTGTGTTTTCAATAAATAAACACCGAAATCACCAGCCCAAACAATAACACACACGATTGTCGTGACGTATTTTTGTAGTTGTTTATTTTTTTTAAATGACAGACCCAGGCATTAAAAACTTTATGGTTTGTTAGAGTAGTTACCGAAATAGCAATTAATACCTGTTATAACTTCGACATCCGATAAATCGGTATAAAATTATCACCGGCACCTCTAGGAGTGGTATGTGTCTACGGCTGCTTGTATCACGTGAGCGGTTACAATATACGTACTTATTTATGTTTTTGTTGTTTCAGGTTGAGAAAGCAGAGCGACATCAATGATGACGTGCAGGTGAGTCTTATTAAGTATTGTTAATAACTAAAAAACATTAAAAAGTTCTTTAAGATACAATGGAATAGAAACCATCTATTACAATGCCACAACACAAAAATACACAGAGAGAAAGCATAAAAAAGACAGAGTTAAAATAAAACAAAAAATAAAATAATAAAAAACAAAAACAACGCAAACATTAAATAGTCAAGAAAGGCTATGACGCTGATTTTCAGTGGACCCTAAAACTGAGTGAGTACCGGACGTGTGTGTTGCGTATATAATAATTAATTTGATACATACATACAGTGTCCAACATTCATAAAAAACAAACTTTACAAATTGAATTAAGAACAGAGATCTATAGCACATTGAAACCAATACTGTCACTAAACGAAAATCTCGGTTTTTCAGATTTAAAGTTATTTTCTAAAGAATGAAAATTTGTTTCCAGAAAATTGGCTATTTCATTTAGTATTTGGTTTCTAATCATAATAATTGTGTAATTGTGATAATTGTGATAAGAGAATAATTGTGGTAACAAAAAAAAGCTTTTAATACAAATATCGGTAACGACTCGTGATATTTGGGTACGTGAAAAATTTCAAATGATATGCCGCATGAAAACAAACAACTGTAGCAAAAAAAATAATTCAAAACTCTGAAACAAATATCATATTATAAACGAATGCTAAATATGTCGGATTAAACACACGCATTTTTCATGAGCAAGCAACATGTTTTTTGTTCAGGAATTAAACATTATATTTGTACTTTATTTTATCCCCTAAGTATTATCATTTGTTACAGTTTATACCGTCTGATAATAATAATATAATTAGTGTAACAAACTCACTTTATGTATTAGACCGCCTTACGCCAGAATGTTTACCTTTAGTTCATTAAAATCCGGTAGGCGGCATTGACCTATTTGTTAATTCTTTATCGCGGTGTAAAGATTTTCTTTCGAATGGTGACTACTCGAACACAATTTTGTTTATGTTGAGAATACCGAGAGCTCAGTAAGGCTAACCAAGACTTGAGTCCCTTCTTGGGAACAACTACCCGGACCTTCAGCATGTAGGGTAAAATTGTATTGGCGTCATACAGGGAATAGTGATTGACGAAAATAAATCTTTTTTGTAACAATAACTTGGGAGTTTAAACTGGGCCCAATCCCTGGGTAGAGAGAACCTCCCTCCTTTACATTAGTTCATTTACATTAAACATGGTATACGTAGCGTCGGCACAATCATGTTTCGCATATGTTAAATGGCATGTAAATGTCTAGTATAGAGTATTAATGTAATACTACAATAATAAGAAAGTCATAAATCACAATTTAATAAACTGAATATCCATTTTTACATTTATTTATTGATATTCAAAGTAAAAATAATAATACACATTGCCTACAGGAAAGTCAAATTATGAGAAATACAAACATAAATTATATAGGTATTATCATTATAATAATAATAATAATACAGAGTGCTTAACATCATAATTTTATTGAGAATATGAATATTCATTAACATTCGAATCCATAGATTCGTCGATTTTGTAAAAATGTTTGATCTTATTTCCACACATTTAGCTGGAGCTTTCAATAGGTGCGTTGACGAAGGTGTTTTTAATGAAATACAGCAAGGTTATTCCCTTATTCAAAAGCGGTAGGAAAGTTGATCCTAGTAACTATAGGCCTATTTCAATTTTACCAGCTTTAAGTAAAATATTCGAAAAGGTTATGCTGACTCAATTACTGTCCTATTTCGGTAGGAATCATATTTTTCATAGTGAACAATACGGGTATACTAGTGGTAGATCGACTGGCGATGCGGGGGTAGCGTTACTAAAACACATCTTTGATGCCTGAGAAAGGTCCCAGAACGCTATTGGTATTTTCTGTGACCTCTCAAAGGCATTTGATTGCGTTGATCATGTTACTCTTATAAGGAAGCTGGAACATTACGGTGTAAATGGCAAGGCGTCGAAACTTGTCTCGTCATATCTCAACGGTAGAATTCAGAAAGTAGACATAAATGGTGTGACTTCTTTGGGTTCTCCGGTAAAAATGGGCATTCCACAGGGCTGAATACTTGGACCTTTCTTATTTCTGATTTATATTAATGATCTGCCATTCTTTGTTAATGACCATTGCGAAATAGTGTTGTTTGCTGATGACACATCCTTGATTTTTAAAACAGACAGACATGACATTAACTATGACCATATTAATGATACCCTCTCTAAGGTAGTTGATTGGTTTAATGCTAACAATTTATTGCTTAATGCCAAGAAGACAAAATGTGTTAAATTTGAATTACCTAACGTAAAATCGACTAGTCCAAGCATAGAAATAAACGGAGAAAGGTTAGACTTTGTTAATAAAGCAGTCTTCTTGGGCGTGACCTTAGATAGTAAACTTCAATGGTTTCCACATATACCTTCCCTGGCCAGCAGGCTAAGCTCCACTGCATACGCAGTCTGCAGAATACGTGAGCTTACCGATGTTAGTACTGCTAGACTAGTTTACTTTAGTTATTTCCATAGTATAATGCTCCAGAATATCACAAATTTGATTCAAAGTGTATTCCATAGCATTTAAGTTTATTTGAAAAGAGCAATCCCTAGAGTTTCTTGCTCGTTCTTCTCAGGGAGGTCAGCGTAGTGAACGAGCAGTAGCTTAAATGTGACAATTTCAAGTGTAAATTTATTTTACCTATGGAATAAATAATCTTTGACTTTGACTTTGAAAAGGATTATTTTCGAAGTAAAGTTTTAGTATTTGCTTGAATGCAGCCATATCTAAGTCAGATACAGTGAATGGAAGATTATTGCACAAATTAATTTTTATGTTTTACCACTTTTATAAATTCGTTTTTAATCTTAAGTTAAAATATTGGATTTTAATTGTTTTTTTTTGTAAGTATGTCCACACACCTTTTCTAATAAAGTTTTCTGTATATTTGGCAGTCACAAGAACATTATTAAGTACAAGTCCATTCGAATTTCTGCAGGCTTAATAAACAGGGCGTCTCACGCTATGGAACACTGGGGAGAAGTCGGTACTATAGCATAGGACGTTGCTCAGGTAGCGTTGCGAGAGATACTTTTGAATATAAAACTGGGATTATCTTCATAAATAGATATTTATTACGTATTTTACATATTGATTTATGGGAACTTCTTTAAAAACCGCCAAGATGTTCCTCTTTTTTCTATCCTATTTTTTAAATACATTCCAAACACAAACCTATATTCATTCAGCTAGTATTAGACTACATCCCTCTTCCTCACAACTGAAGGGTTAAACATCCCTAGCTGGTGCCCTACCTATGATAGGCAACTTACATAAACGATTAGCCTTTACTTCAGGCTAGCCACACACTGCTCGGAAGCTACTACCTTACCAACAAGCAAACCACAGAGGAGGCTGTGGCTTTAGTCTGCCAAAAACCTATCTAAAAGGACAGGCTATGACCACATTCTAATCAAACAACTCAAAATATAATTATTCGTCAGCTATCCTAGCTATTCAGGTAACCTCTCTAAACTCTGACACTTTATTTCATCTAAAACCATCGGTATTTAGGTATCCTATCTAAATCCTAACTGTTTATTTCAGCTACCCTAGCTTGGCTAAATGCTCCTACAAACTCTTTAAACATCATTACTAAAACTTTCTAAATGCATCACTAAACAATCTTCAACGTGCACGCTGCTACGACGACGATACAGGCTTGAGCACCCATCGGACGCCCACTCAGGAACATCCGTATTGACTTCCCAGCTCCCTTAGTCGTCGCCCTGCAGCTGTCCACGTACCACCAAGCTTTCTTACTTTCTTTGAACAAATTAAAACAACACGCAAATTATTCTAACAACAACATTTCCTAACACCAATATAATATGGCGATATATGATATATAGGATTCCTAATAATTAAACAAATATATTTTCCCTTGAATGCAGACAGTTCCTGTTCACCTGGACGAATGACCAACAAGTATGCACGTACACAGGATAATATATCCATAAAATGAAAAATAAAAAATAAGTTATATTTATCCAAGTCGGTAGTTTATCTCCTTATATATTTGTATTGTCTGCATTCGCCGGAAAAAGATATTCCATCAAAATATTCGTTAAGATACATTGTCGTCATGGCTCCATAGGAAAAACAAACACAAAAGATTAGCAAACATTAAACAATAAAATATAAACAACCTATTACCTACTAGAAACTGAAAATCATTAAACTATCTACCATAGAATATTTTCAACCTATTCGCTTGCATCAGATCCTACCTACCAGATCTACTCCTATTTACACCTATTCTTCTCACAATATAATTAACTGTACTAAATCGATCTACAACCCTGTACGGCCCTTTAAACAATCTAGCTAACTCTACACTTCTATTGGAAACCCTCCTAGGACAATACCAACGTTACCAAGTCTCCCGGCTGGTACACAATTACTTTTGCCTTCTTATAATTTCGCTTCTGTTTTATCTGCGCCCTCACTATTCGTTCCTTAACCACATCGATCAACGCTGCTTGCTTTAAAATCTTATCTTGCAAGTTCTCCGCAACATTGACACAATTAATCCTCAATTCTATATCTGACGCACATAAGGATTCTCTACCGAACAAAACCATATATGTTGACACCCCGGTACTACTATGTTTACTAGAATTGTTCGCGAAACACACTAATGGTAACATGCTACACCAATTCCTTTGTTCGCCTCCTATATATTTCGCAAACATTCCTAACAGCGTCCTATTAAATCTCTCACACAAACCATTGCACTTCGCGTTGAATGCCATAGTATGCACCATAATCGCTCCAAAATCTCGCACTGTCTCTTCTACCAAGTGAGAAGTAAACACCGATCCTCTATCGCTCAAAACTTCTTTTATTCCGCCATACCTACAAAATATTTCCGACACCAGAAAATCACATATTGTTTCCGCTGTCACCCTGGGTACAGTCCTGCACACCACATACT